TTGCCAGGCTTTTCCTAACAAGCACGGCGACTGTAGCAAGCCAAAATATCAGATAACACATCATAGGTATTCATGCTCAGCAGTGGCAAGGACTGCCCCCCGCCATTCCGCCGAGCGCGGCCGGATAGCACAGGCAAACGGTTTCGGGAAGCTAGGCGATGAAGTCCAGCTTTACTACACGCTCCCAAGACACAGAGCCCACAAAACATACATCACAAATCCATAGGCGTTCTCAAGCTTAGGCACGATCTCGCGCCCGTCGGCGCCTTTTGCCCTTGAGATCGTGCGCGTCGCCAGGACCGAAGCGATCGCGAGCCGGAGGGCATCGTACGCAAGGTGCCTGCCGGGGCAAGTGCGCCTTCCGAAGCCGAACGTCGCGACGTCTGGATCTCGCACGCCCGGGTTGAGCTCGATCCCGCCTGCGCTGCCCGTACGCAGGAAGCATTCGGGGTTGAAGATCTCGGGGTTGGGATACACATCCGGGTCGTGCAGAATTGCCCTGTGCGCGCGTCAGCGTAGAGGCCAGGACGGTCGATACGCCACCTACCAGGTGTTAGCGAGCACGAATGTGCCCTTCGGGATATGATACCCGTTGTATACGTCATCTGTGGTCGAGACGTGCGCGAGATCTGTTCGGCCGTGTCAGCGGCGATGGGAAGCGTGGTCAAACAGGCTTTGTTACGCACTCAGAGGGATGACAGGGTTCCATCCCATCACTTCTTTGAGCAGAGCATGGACGTAGGGCAGTGCGTGGAAGTCTGAGAAGTCGGGCAGTCGTCCGTAGCAGACGAGGTCAATTGTTTGTTGCGCTTTCGCTTGAACTTCGGGATAGAGCACTATGACGATGAAGAAAGACTGAAACGTAGAGACGATCTATCTGGAATTGTTAGCCGGGTCTGTCCTGTAAAGTCGTTTCCCCGACTCACCGTATCCGTTCCAGCTAGAGCACGCCTGTCGTAAAATACCATAATAAGATAGCATCGAGATAGCATATACCACCATATAGCGTCCCCAAAGACGCGCGCACAACCTCTTCCATGTACTTCGGATCCGCGGCATTCGGCACAGTGTCCTCAAGTAAGTTCTTTGCCGCACAGCTATCCGGAAGCCGGCCGGGTACCTGGTAATGCCTATGGAGAGGACCAAAGTGACACCACTGGGAGACGCACCAGAAGTTCTTTTGCCAGATCAAAAGGGACATGCAGCATCCTATCCGCGTACCCTCGCCAGATTATTGCTCGCCGCTGGAAGCCTGCGCCAGGGAACCGTGCGGGAACGTATTTGACTGAGAGGTTGAGTTAGGCTATAGACATGGAAGCATTCCAGCACTCACGAGCAGGAATAACATCTACCAGGAACTGCCCCAGGATTCATGGCTGCTACCGATGGTCAACCATTGCGCTTTTTTGAAAAACGATCGCTCTCGATAGTGAGGGGGTATATCCATGTGGAGAGCGCTCCGGAGGCAAATGACGAGAGTGGACAAGCAGGTCACTATCAAGCCCCATGTACCACGGTAGGTCAGATCTGGGCGCCAGGAACTTGGTTCTAGAGCCGAGATATTTAAAGCCGAGAGTGTGGACATTGACTCGCAGAGCTGAAGGATGAGCTCGGTTGCAGTGTAATGCGGAGAGGGTGATTCGGACGTGCGCACGGTCCCATGGCACTTGGGCTTGAGTCCTCAATAGGCTCCAATTAATGCGTTGCCACCAAGTGTCCTCAGATACGACACCCGCCAAATTTAAGGTTCCGCTTTCATTTAATGCCCACGCACAGCCAAACAGCGCAAGGGCGACATGCCTCGTGAGCACTGGCCAGAGCGGGCACATCGGCACATTGAGCGGTCAAATATAATGCATTATAATGCACCGTCGGGCATTTATAATGCGTTATAATGCGATTTTTAGTGATTTTTGAGTTTATAATGCAAGATAACGGACCAGATCGCATTATATTGCATTTTAATGCAATATAATCTCCGTCCCTTTTTGCCGAT